GCATTGGGTTAACCTTTTAGATGCTCCTCCTCACTTATCTGTACAATCCCTCCCCTGTGGGGCAAAGAATTTCCTAATTTGGCCTTTGCCCTTAGTTTGTGAAAAAAAAAAATAACCCTAGGGCACTTCCTAAGGAATTAAGGTGTACTGATTAAGTGTACCTAAGGATTATTTCTGCAGGAGCTAGCTAGAGGAGCTAGCTAGAGGGAGTCTCAGTGGTGCCTTGGTTAAAGCGCTTGGTGGTTAACCTCAAGGTTGGGAATCTAAGACCTCCAGCTGCTCCACAGAAGTAGAAGGTCTTGGAAACCCTATGGGGCCATTTCCTCTGTGGTGTGATGCTGTGGGATAAAGCACTGGACCGAAAGTTTGGTGGTTCAAACTCACCAGTAGCTCCTTGGAAACCCTACACAGGGTCGCTATGAGTCGGGAATGGGCTTGATGGCAGTGAGTTTGATTTGGGGATTTTTTTGTCTAGCGAGGGAACCTACCTGGTAACCAGTGACCAGGACATAGACGGCTGATGAAAGCCTTGGGACAAGGTGGCTTGATATTCTTTAACTACTGGGCGGTTATCATTTGACCCTAATAAACTGGCAAATGCTTATTTTATCCTAATAGGCATAAGAATAGTCTATAAACCCTGTGGGACATTTCAGTGAATTCTCACACCTCACACAAGATAAAAGCACTCTGGAGGGTGACGGCGGGCAGGTGGTTGTGTCACAGATAACAGAAAGTAGAAAAGTGGAGATTGGATTATCCCCACATCTTGGAGATGGGTCTCTTGGTGGCTCTTGTCAGAGAAACCCTCTCCCATGAAATGGGTGATTCTTCCCATTTTACAGACAAGAAAAGCAAGACTTCAGAGAAAGTAAATAAGTTGCCTGACGGCACACATCCTAATCATACCGGCAGTGGGGCAGGTCTCGAACCCAGGTCCATGGGCTGCAGAGTGACCACTCTTCTCTCAGGCTCCAGAGAGTGTCCACAGAACGTGCTTGTGGTGTGAGTGGGAGACTTGACTGCCGTGTGGCCTTTTCCAGAGCGGGCCTTGTATGGGGCCCAGCTCAGATTGTAATAGCAAGGGGACGTTGGGCAACTGGTGGGTCTCATAGATTCATGGGTTGGAAGTCCTAGACTGTGGTCCTGGCATGCATGTTAAATAGCTCACTATGGTTTACATGCATGCATATTATGTATTCACACACATCATGAACATGGGAATCACAGGAACAGCATCTCACTCACTTCAGAATCCCCACCACAGCCAACTGCTCAGGGAGTCAGGTTTGATACTGGCCACTTGGCCACAGCTGATAAGAGCAGGTTTCAAGGGCAACCACTTCCTGGGCTGACCACTGGCTTATGGCAGGGCACACAGAACTGAACTGGACCAGTCAGATGCACATTCTTGGGGTGTGAACAGTAAACCCTGATTGATACAGTCAGATGGTGGCGGTTTTAGGGTCATGAGGAGGAATGAGGTGAAATCAGGGCAAACTCTGAGGTAGAGTAGCTCAACCTGTAATTTACTAGTTTTAGGTGAGTCATTTAACCATGCTAAGCCTCAGTTTCCCTATCTGTGAAATGGAGAACACAGAATTGAGCTCTAGAGTTAATGTATGGAATCCCTTTTCCCCACCCTGTTTCCGACTTTCCTGGTAAGGGAAGCAGCTTTTTGGCCAACATTCACATTCTAGTAGACTCTCTGGTGTCTGGTTGACTCTGGTAAGTGTGATGGGTGGTGGGAAGCCACTGTGTTGAAAGCTCTGATGAAAGCAAGTCCCCCTCCAACTAGAAACAGGATGAATGAGCCAAAAGTCACATCCTTAAAATTCAACCCACATCCCACAATATCAGCTTTCTACCAGCACTCAAACCCTCTGCTGGTGGTGGTGGTTGTGTGCCACCATTGGTTCCAACTCATGTTGTTGTTAAGTGCGTTTGAGTAGGTTCCGACCCATAGCAACCCTGTACAGGGTTTCCAAGGCTGTACATCTTTACGGGAGCAGAAAGCCTCATCTTTCTCCCGTGGAACGGCTGGTAGTTTCGAACTTTTGGCCTTAAGGTTCGCAGTCCGATTGGTAACCACTACGCTACCAGAGCTCCTTATATAGGTTTCCGAGCTGTAAATATGTATGTATTTAAAACCTTTTATTGTGAATTGAGTGAAGGCAGACAGACAATGTCATCAGCCTTCCTTTCAACCAATCATACATTCTGTTTCATCTCAATGATTGCACTCCCCTCCCTGTAACAACAGTGATCCTACTTCCTCCCTGTAGCTTCCCTTTTACATCTTATTTTTCACAAATGAATAAAACAAAAAGATTTGATGCACACATACAAAACAAAAAATATATATTCATTTAAATGTCCAAATGGTCCCTTTTGCAAGCCAGGCTCCTGTCTGCAAGCACATAGCCTTTCTCAATCCATGGGCCTAAAGTCCTCAGCTGCTCTATCTATGTCATAGACTTTGCCACTGTGTCTGCTGTCGCTGTTTTTCTGGGTGCGATCTCATGCTCCACTCATGCTCTTCCTTCTTGATGGTCGAGGCTGTAAATTTTTAGGGGGCAGAAAGCAGAATCTTTCTCCCATGGAGTGACTGGTAGATGCAAAGGTAGTTAGCAGTCCAGCTGATAATCCACTATGCCACCAGGGTGCCTGGCAAACCCTCTTGTTGTTAAGTACAGTTGAGTTGGTTCTGACTCATAACGACCCTGTACAGTTTCTGATGTTTCTAATCTTTATGGGAGCAGAAAGCCTCATCTTTCCCCCACAGAGCGGCTGACGGGCTTAAACCTTGTACCTTGTGGCTCACAGTCCAATGTTTATAGTATGCAGACACCTTTGTTGTTTTTGAGTGCCATCGAGTCAGTTCTGACTCACAGTGACCCTGTATAGGGTTTCCAAGGAGCAGCTGGTGAGTTTGAACCGCTGACCTTATTATGGTTCAAACCTACCTTGTGGTCTAGTGTTTTATCCTATTAGCGCCACACTAGGACTCCTTCAAACTCTCAAGTTGGAACAAATTACCCTTATTCCTGTAATCATGATGTTCCCTCCAATGTTTCAAATGTTTCCTCCGAGGAGTAGTAGGTGAACAGAAAGACTAATGAAGGAAAAGGGAAGGCAGGGGCAGGAGAGGGTCCCCACCAAAAAGTCTCAGCTGCTAAAAGTGCCTCACCTTCCCCTGTCCTCCCCAACCCCACAAGTTGTCCTGACCTACACAGCTCACACCCTACATTTCTTTCAAGGTTGAGGCCCCAGGGAACATTTCTAACATGTTTAATGAGCCCACCTTGTCCTCCCACAGAGCACTGCGATCCTATAAAGGTACCTGTGGGTTTTAATAGCCCAAACAAACAGATTCCCAAAAGAGTTATTTCAAATTATAGAGGCCCACCCCTTGTTTTTCATGCCCCTTTCTCCTGGCCAGATTGCTAGCATTCTTTTGAGATGACCAAATGGGTGCCAGAGGACAGTGGGACAAAGGGCCTGTCACCTGGGCAGGCTGTGGACTGGGCCTCACCTCCCTGTGGGCTGGTATTTTTAGACTAAGTCCTTGGCTCTCTTATCTAAACGTGACACAAGACCTTGGTTTCTCAGCCTTTCCAACATTCAGCTGAGTCTCTCTTAAAGCCTTGTCTTTTCTCCCAGTTCCTGCTAGCTCAGCTCCCAGGCCTACTCAAAAGCCCCTTTTTGGTTAAATGTGATGATTTTTTTTTGGTAGTACCTTCAGCCAAGTATACACTGGCTAAAAGCCTAAAAGAAAGAAAGAAAGAAAAAAAAAAAAGACTTTTGCTTCCGGCAGATTAAACCCCCAAAAGAGGCCATTTCCTGTGCACCAGGAGGTGGAGTTCCTCTCTGGCAGCCAGGTGAAAACCTTCTGCTTTAACTCAGGTCCCAGAAAGCTGGAGCTATACTTTTTGAATGTTTTATTCCCTCTCCACACCCTTTTATTTTCAAGTAGGCCAAACAAGGATGGAGGGCTTGGGGAAATGCACAAGAGCTAGTTTGCAGGGAACCTTGGCCCCCTTCCCGGGCAAAGGTGCTGTAGTCACGGTCACGCGGCTGCTGGGGAAGGTGGGGCAGAGGTGGCAGCGCCCACAAAGCCGGCATCCCCAAGGCGCGCCCTCTTGCCAGTCTCTCAGCACCACGGACAGGGAAACTGAGGCCGTACAAGGCGAGAGGGGAGGACTGGTCCCGGGGGCTTGGGCCGGCAGGGGAAACAGGCACTTCTTCCCTGTTCCGGGGCTCGAGTTCGGCCCCCGGGGTCATAAGTCCTCCCTTGGGCACCAGCAGCCGCTCGGTCGGGGTGTGGCTGTCGCGCCCCGTGCGGAATGGGTGTTGAGAACGTTATAAGTGCCCGGCCACAAGGTCGAGGGAAAAGGCCGCCGGCAGACGCGTGTCCCGCGGCCCAGCCGAGGCCCCGGTCTCGGTACGTGGTGCACCGAGGACGCTATAGTTCCAGGCAGGCCCGGATCCTCGGAGGCTTCGGAGCCTCCCCGGTCGGGCCCACACGGCCGCCGCGCCCCAGTCTCCCCGCGCTCCCGCAGCCCTGCTACCCCGGCGCCGCGCGCGACACCCCGCCCCATAGTCAGGCCCCGCCTTCAGAGGCCACAGCGACCGCGGGGCGGCGGCGTAGCCAATAAGAAGCGGGCAAGCGAGGGCGGCGGTGGTTGTGATGCGGCGCGCCGGCCAATCAGCGGTGAGCGCGGGGGCGGGCTGTGACGCGCGGTGCCGCTCCTCGTGCGGCGGCGGTATAGGAGCGAGCGCCGGCGAGCAGCTCTGCAGAGAACGCCGCTGCCGTCACCGCCTCCTCCTCAGCGCCACTAACCGCTGCCGGCGACCCCACCGCCGCCCCGAGCCGCGGCCCGTCAGCCAGCCCGCCGCGGCGGACGCCACCTCTCTCGGCTCCGTGAGACGCCGGCCGTACGCTGAGCCTCGTCCTTTCGCGCTGCTGCCGTCCGCGGCTCCGCGGCCACCCGTCCGGCATGAAGACCAAGTTCTGCACCGGGGGCGAGGCGGAGTCGTCGCCGCTTGGGCTGCTGCTGAGCTGCGGCGGCGGCAGCGCGGCCTCGGCGCCTGGCGTAGGGCCGCCGCGCGACGCCGCCAGCACCCGCGAACCTAAACCGCCGGGCGGCCGGCAGCCCCCGCCTGCACCCCCTCCGCCGCCGCCCGCCGACGAGCAGCCCGACCCCCGAACACGGCGCCGGGCCTACCTGTGGTGCAAAGAGTTCCTGCCCGGCGCCTGGAGGGGCCTCCTCGAGGAGCAGTTCCACATCAGTATCATCAGGTGCGGCCCGGGTCGGAACAGGCCTGGGGGGTACCGTTGGGTTGGGGGAGTGGAGGGGCGGGGTCCCGCGGGCTTGTTGGGGGGGGCAGAGGGGCGGGGTCCTACTTGCTGTTTGGGGGGGAACGAGGGGCGTGGTCCTGCTGGGGGCGGGGCCGGCCTGGGTCCCCGGAGACGGACCGGGGTAGAGGCGCCAGTGTGGGGATTGGAGCCGGGAAAGCGATCTCTCCCGAGCACCGGTGAAATGGCAGTACCTGGATTCCCGGTTCATCGGCCACCAGACTTCCCGAAGGCTGGCTTTTGTCAGAGTGTCAGTTTCATGGGCAAACGGGTGTCATCTAGGCAAACAATACGGTTCGCTCACAAAGTACACTTTTTATTGAACTGAACACGCCCAGAAAGTCCCTTTATGGTTTGGTGCTGTGGAGTCGGTTCCGACTCTTAGCGACCCTGCACAGGGTTTCCGAGGCTGTAAATCTTTACGGGAGCAGAAAGCCTCATCTTTCTCCCGGAACAGCTGGTAGTTTCGAACTGCTGACCTTGTGGTTCGCAGCCCGATTTGTAACCACTTTAGGACCTTTAAAAGATGGCTTTTACCACTTCACTTGGTAACGTTAATGGCCAGTTCTGTTATGTGAGTCCACCCTTGGATTTCTCCCTTCTCAGAGAGTCCGCCAATTCCCCACTGAGACTGGAGACGTTTCCTGTAGGGGCGCTAGTGACTGGGGAGTTGGAAGGTGTGACCTCCAAAAGAACTCAGAGCCAAGTAGAAAGGATTTTGTTTTTCTTTTGAAATTCTTAGCTTAAATATTTTAAATCTGAATCTTAAGTTAAAAAATATGTGTGCATACATATTTGGACCTAACTGAGAAAGAAAATAAACCCCAGGCCTCTTTCCTCTCCTCCCAAGTGATCCCCAGTTACCACGTGGTGCATATCCAAATCTGGTCAGACCTTAAGAGTGTCTGTCTTCTTTGGCACTTTTTCTTTTTAAGCGGACTGCCGAGTGAGTGGTGGTATCTAGTGGATGTCACAAATAATCCCCGCCCCCCCACTCCTCTCCCATGTCTCTCCCAGAGCCACTAAGGCAGTCCCCTGAACTGTTTGGACTTCCTCATTGTAACACTTCACTGTGAGTGGTAGTCAGACCCTCCTCCCTCAGCTAGGCAGAGGCTTAGTCCCCGAATTGCCTGATACTTGTAATTTTTTTAATGGAGCTCTTTCCAAACCTTAGTCCACGTTTAGTTAGGATTGTTCTTTGCAATGTTGACAGAAATCATCTGCAGGCCTGGAAAGCCTACCAGAAAAACGGATGAAAACCCCAAACTGCCCAAGGGTATTGACCGGTTCAGTCCTTGCCGAGCTAACCCTTGGCCACCACCCTCTCCATTCAGGCTGAGTACATTCTCCAGGTCCTCTTTCTGCAGTGTCCCTCATTGATTGCTGTTGTTAAATGCTGCCGAGTTGATTCCGGCCCATAGCGACCCTGCATAGGGTTTCCAAGGTGAAGCTGGTGAGCTTGAACCGTGGTTCAAACGGCTTTGCAGTCTGGCGCATTAAGTAACCCACAGTGCCACACCAGGACTCCCCTTCATTGATTAGATCTCTGCATTTTGTCCACACAGGTTATTAGAAAGCACAGACAGTATCTTACCCTTTTTTCCAGGCATTATAGTCGTCTTAGAAGACAGCTCTCTTTTTTGGCTTGGAAGATCTTTTGAAATGCCATTGAATGGTATGCATTTCTGCTCAGTTTGGTTTTCTGGAATAGAAACATACTAGTCAAATGAGTTTAATAAGGAGAAAACCAAGCCCTCTGCCATCGAGTTGATTCTTGAGTTTGTAAATCTTTATGGAAGCAGACAGCCTCACCTTTCTCCCATGGAGTACCTGGGGTGGGTTTAAATTGCCCACCTTTTGATTACCAGCCCAGAGCCTAGCCCACAGCACCACTGTTGTTAGGTGTCATTGAGTCAGTTCCAACTCATCCACTCCCTATAAGATTTCCAAAGAGTGGGTGATGGGCTTGAATCATCAACCTTGTGGTTCCCAGTGTAATGCTGATTCTACAGTGCCATCCTAGGATTCCTTTTAACAATGAGAAAGGTGATTAAAGAAATGGGAAAGGGTATGGTGTCTTTGTAATCTGCAGAAATACCACTGCTGGGTGACTCTAGCAAACATTCTAGATGCCTGAGTTCAGGATGCTGGCTCTGGAGACTTTCTTTCTCTATTGGCTCTAAGGGAAAGGTCTTGTCTCCTTTCAGTATCTGTGTTGAGTGTACCTTGGAGATCCCCATGTGTCTTGCCATCAATCTGCCCCTGAGTCAAGGAGGTTCTCAGTGTGGGGACCCCAGGTTCACAGGACCTGCTGTGCTCCCAGCTCTTCTTTCTTGGTGACAGTCAGCTTGTAAGATAAGCGGTGCTGGAGGCGGGGAAGCTCTCCTTTCATAAGACCGGGGTGTCACCTGAGTAAGTGTGCTCTGGTCCACCCTAATCCCCTTATGACTGATCCCATCTTGGGGGTCATTCCATCATTTCATACTGGCCACATGACGTCATCACCTAACTGCCAAACCACTGAGAATCATGGCATAGCCAAGCTGCTCCTTTTGTGCCAGCCTGGCGTCAGGTGGTTTTAGAAGTTTACTGTGGCTTAACCTCCAGCCTTTAGAGTGGGTCACGCTTTTCGTTTTCTGGTTAAACACCTTTCCCCAAGCCCACAATAATGGCTGTCCAGCTAGCTTTTCAACAAGGGAGCTTTGTGTACGTACCCACCAGGCCCTTCTTTGCTTCCACTCTGTCTGTTTTAAGCATTCTGCCTCCTTCACAGACTAATTCAGAGAGAGCCTCCTACCTGGACCAGCATTAACTTCTCCCTTGGTTAGGTTCCTCCGTAGCACTCCACACGCCTTCCTATCATAACCTTCCCTGCGGAGTGTCATATTTCTCCAAGAGGGCACTTTATGTTCAACTTTGTGTCCGCAGCGCTAGAATGGTGCCTGGCACACAATGACTCCTAGGTAAATGTTTGTAGTGGTTGTCATTTTTAGTTTAAATTGACCCTTTCACTGCCCTCCGGATATGGATGAGAGTCCTTATGATCAGACTATGGGTGACCGAATGTTCTTCAGTCATGAGCAGTCAAGGGAAAAAAGTAAAATGGTCATAAAATAAACATTGTTATTTACAAAACTTATGCAAGCTCAGGCTGTCTGCTGACCAGGCAAGTGTTTGCTCTTACCCCTCTTACTGATGATTGAGAAAATAGTCACAATCACTTGTAAAACTGAAATTGCCAGACCAGCCTCCAACAGCTAGAAGAACAGAAGATATTTATTGAAAGACCAGCAGGAAAAATCCAAAACAAAAATGGCAGTCTGATTGGCTACTACAAGAACAAGCAGGTTGGTTGCTGGGGATCCATCAAGGCACGCCATTAAGTCCCTTCAGGACAAACCCCCTCCCAGAATGAAACTCAAAGGGAACACATGAGCAGGCATGTAAGCTTGCTGATGATGACCACTTGGTCTGCTGGTGAGTGGAAGTGGGGGAAAGGCAGCAATGAAGATACTGGCTGAGTTCAACCACGTTCTGTAGACTCCCATCGACCTGGAAATGAGAGAGAGAAGAAGGGTTGTTTGGTCTGAAGTGTGGTGAGACCTGGGGACTCCTGAGCCCATGGACAAGGACATAGCCATAGAAGGCTAGAGCTGAGAGTGAAACATTCAGTTGATATGAAGTGAGGAAAGACTCATAAGAATGCCCAAACTTGTAGATAGTACCCATTCTACCTAGCCTTAATGGCTTGATGATCAGAACTCGACTAGAGGAAGATTTAAAAAAAAAAAAATTTTTTTTTGATAAAGGAAACAAGTGCAGATTACTAGTTTGATGAACTTGACCTATACTTATGGATGTAGTAGCTCAAAATACCAACTGAGAGGGAGGGAAGGAGTCTTCACATCAAGTATCAATCCTATCCCCTCTATATACAAGATTGAAAAGGATGGGCAACTTAGACATTGGCTGCATAAAATGGAGGTGGGGGACCATAAAGGCTTGAAGAGCCTGGCTTACAAGTATTCAAGAGGGAGATTAATTTCAGAGTGTACGGGGGAAGGTAGAGTCCTCACTGAATAGGTTTCATCTTGTCTAGACGGGTCTGGTGAAACGAAATGGGGATAAGAGTCTTATGATTCGATAGTAATTGTTAACATGACTAATTGCGACTGTCACAACTGTAAAGGTAGAAGTTTTATAACCAAAAGGGGGGAGTAGTTAATCTTACAGGAGTCCTGGTGTGGCACTGTGGGTTAATGCGCCAGACTGCAAAGCCGTTTGAACTGCAAGGTCAGCAGTTCAAGCTCACCAGCTGCTCCTCGGAAACCCTAAAAAGGGTCGCTATGGGTTAGAATCGACGGCACTTCACAACAACAACAACAAGAAAATCTTAACAGGACTGTAAGACCATCCAGGGAGAAGAGCACGAGTGGAATGTGTGACCCTATCTGGAGAATCAGCGACACCAGAGAAAGATGCAGAGATGAGGACATGGAGAGATAGAGCAGCTGAGGACTCTAAGACTCATGGAGGCTGTGTACTGGCTGCCAGGTGCTAGTGGTCAGGAGGCAGGCTTGCAGAATGTGCCCTTTGGTTGTTTAAATGACTATATATTTCTGAGTGTTTTTGTGTACCCAAAAAAGCAACTGAGGTAGGATAAGCAAAAATACTGTTGAATGATGATGCCGGAAGGAGATTGTAATCATTGCAATGAAACGATCAGTGTAAAACCATTGTTCTTCCATGTAAACTATCACTCAGCTTACAATAAAAACTAAAAACAACAACAACAAAACCCCCCTGAAATTGTAAAAGTTGCAAGATCATGTGAAGTGTGATAGCAGTGTCTGAGAACTGTTAGAGTGTCCCACACATGCCTGGCACACTCTAGACTGCTGACAAAGGAATAGTGTGAAGGGGGTGGGGATAGCAAGAGCCCT